GCAAACATACAGTATATTTTACATTTAATTGTTCATTTTCTTTTATAGTTATCCTAGTGAGTTTAGCTATTGCAGAAAATAACCATTTGGGTCATGTGAGTTTATAATGTTGTGACACTAAAAATATTGTGTCATTCATTTGAGATGATCAACAAGGGGAATTTTTTTTTAAAAAATAAAAAAAATAAATCAGTGGTAATGAGTATACATGATATGGTAATTAGCTAATTACCGTAAATACGTAATTCGTAATTAACGTAAATAATTACCACTTTCACTCTTTAAAAACGTAATTACGTAATTAATTATGGGTGACGAAACTAATACGGATAACGAAATTAATTACGGGTGACAAAATTAATTACGGGAGACGAAACTAATTACAGGCGACGAAACTAATTACGGGCGACAAAATTAATTATGAATAACAACGAATTAATTATTGGAAATATCATAATACAAGTCACTCCTGTTATAACAACACTCTCCGTACAAACAAAAAATGTTAGTATGACGAGAATGTCATTATAACGGGAGTTCAAATAGAAGTCATATGAGAATCATTATCATGTGACATTGTAATTTTATTTTTATTATATATTTTTTTTTTTATTTCATTCATGTTTTATCAGGAAATTTAAAACTTACGCCGGGTCAAAATTGACCAGCATTATACAGAAGTGTTATCAGAATTTTCCATGGTGCCGGTCAATCTTGATCCCAGCGTTTGATTTTCTTATGTTTTTTCAGAAATGAGAATGATTTTCCCATTATACTGACATGTCGTTATAACAGAATAAATTCTAAAAAGTTGACAAATTATGTCATTATACTAGCATAACGAGATGTCCTTTAATTTCGTCACGCGTAATTGATTTCGTCACCCGTAATTAATTTCGTAATTGCATATTACGTATTACGTATTACGTTTTTGGCAAAATAATTACCATCCCATGTATAGCCCTCAGTGAGCATGTATGGAAGCCTTGTTGTAATCAAACCAAAATTAGTCATGCTCATATATAACCAGCCCACTGTGAAAAAACTTATGTGGCTTCTTCACAATTTGCTTCTGAGTGAATATTTCCTTCCTTCCACCTAAGGTTGTGGGCAAAACCTCCTTAGTAATTGCTGAAACCACAGCAAAACTATATTAAATCTTATCAAAAATCCTG